CAAGAAGACCAATGGGATATGATGAAAGACAAGAGTGATCGTCCTGCCCTGTGAAGTGCAAAACGTTTTGAAGTTGCCTCACAAAGTTTTTCGTCAACTTAAATGTGCATTTCCTGTAGTCTAATGCAAGTAAAAGCAGTAATATGTTGTGTGACAAATCCCACCACACAAACATTTAGGATGATTATCAGGCCTGTGACAGCACCATCAGTTGTCCTGAATTTGAAGACTGTATCTGAGACATCCCCATTCATTTGTTAGAAAACTATTCATGTATGTATGGAAATGGAATCATGATAAATAGCTTACACACTTTCTTTCCCTGATACACAACCTTCAGAGGGCACTCATGTACAGAAATCAATAGAAACATACCACTGCCTTTTGAACCTATAAGTGATGACATTTAATTCCAAGTTGTTACAGTTTAATTTTGCGTCATGGAGCCCAGATGGCGCCGAGTAGTGTGCCGAGTTCTCCCACATGTTGGGTTCTGGGTGGAATCTGCCACCTTCTGGACAGGGAGGTGATAAATCAGGAAGCAATCACTTGAAGCAAAACAAAACCTGCGGCTTGTTGTCATCACAGTGTTTTACACTAATCAACCTGAAATATTAGATTCTTTTGTCTGAGAGGACACCTACCTTGATTGATGGAGTTGGATTCCGCCGAGCTGTAGTCAGACTGACTGGAGGCCTTGTCTAGCTGTGTAGCTTTATGCATTAATGACATTATGCGTTAATTTTTTGTGGAAACAGACGTGAGAAAATAAAGGAATTATAATTTACGCTCTCCAATGTGTATTTGTTTGGTGGGTTTCATTGTAAGAGTTTCATCATCAGTTGTGTTATGAAAACAAAGATCATTCCTCTGTTGATGTCACTGGAGTTGAAGATCAACGGTCCCTCCATTTTCTGTTCAGTTACATAGACCCAGAGGTTTAGATGGGCAAAGGTGGCCCAGTCTTAAAAGGGCCTTGAATTTGACATGCAGAGTTTTCTCCCTTATGCATGGCAGGAACATACTAATGTGCAGTCAAATATAAATGTCATGCTAGTTTATCATGACTTTAGACGACCCACTCAATCTTTCATTTAATTGATGACATTGATAAAGTATTCTTGAATGGAATTCAATCATGAATGTTTAGCCTTTATAATATCCGAGTTCACTGTTTATATTTTTTATAAACCATCCTTATCATCTGTACTTTTTGGCCACACAATTGGGATTCCGAAGAAGACTATCTGTAACTGCTCCTGGTGTGTTAGATCTCTCTTGTGGATTGTAAAGGTTCACTGTTTTATATCTTACGGCAGAATCCCATCGAGCACTTTGACATTATTACAGTGACTTTTAGAAAGGGAGAAGAATGGACGGAGCGAGTATCATGTAATAACAACATCACATCCACCCTTTATATTGATAATGGAGCCAGGAGAGTTTTTTCTCCAAATAATGTTACACCTAAAGTAGATTCAAAACAAGTGGGCCTGTCCTGAGGTATTTTTGTAACCCCTCTCTCGAGTAACCACAAAACAGCCATGCTCTGAAATAACAATATTCGAAGTGGCAAGAAGGATTGTAGTTTAAGAACAGTTTGTAATAAAAACAGATGTTGAGGTCAAAATTTCACCTATCTCTTGGATTGTAAGAGTGTTGGAATGTTGTTGAACTGCTATTTTAATAAATCTTGAAATTATAAAAACAGAGGTAATAAAATAAGATGTGGATGAAATTAGGGGTTCGAGAATGGATAATGTTGTTGAATGTAGAAATACACCACATTCTGGTACTCATTTAGATACATTTGTATCATGGGAACATTGGCCGGTTTAACGGCAATATATTTCATGAATGTAAAGAAAATATAATATTACTGTTCTGATTAAATAGGTACTTTTTGTGATGTCTGAATCACATGATTAATTCATTATGATGGATACCAAACAAAGCCTTTCTATCTACAGTTAAATGCAATTATAATTCAGTCTTTGAATCACATTTAGAGGTGATACACATAAAGGTGAGAATATATAGATGTCAACTATTTTGAGGAACATATTGATGAAGAGGACAATTTTATGGATATACAACTTCTTTGTTCTGTATAGGCGATGTTTCGACATAGATTCTAATGTCGTTGTGAACCACTTGCTTGACAACGACATTAGAATCTATGTCGAAACATCGCCTGTACAGAATGAAGAAGTTGTATATCCATAAAAATTGTCCTCATTCTTAGATGAAAGAAAGGCATATCAAAATGTTCTCCTACTGTGATGTTTCAAGATGCCCTCAAGCATCAAGCTCTGCTTCAAATTGTCATGGGATGAAAATTCAGAATGATGTACAAACTATTTCAGCCATGTTCTTGAGTTTTGCTACTTTTGTTGGCCATTGATGATACTTCAGCTTCTGTGCAAGATGTTTTCCATGTTCTTGGTACTTGCACCTCTTTCACTCACAAGCTTTTTCGCTTTGACAGTATTTATCACTAGTCGGTGTTCACGTATCACAGCTTGTGTTGGAGGTTGCGTGTCTTGTATGTTCTCAAGAGGTGAAATATGTACAATCTTGATTGTTACACCGATTCACTCGCCAATGTTTTAAGGGTTGTTGTATAAGCAGATGTCGTCCACTCCAGATGTTGTGCTTCCATCGTTTGAGATGTTGTTTCAGAGGAGCTAACTTATTTGTCTACTGTTTGTTCATGGCCAGTAAATTGTATTTGGAATGATAAGCCATGACATTTTAGTGAGTGAGTGAGGTAACATTTATCGCCACATTTGCAACATTTCAGCCATATTGTGACAAGCCAAAATCTTAAGTTCATAAGAAATTCATTTGGACTGATTAGAATCCTGTCAGCAAAGGACAAAACAATAACTAGATTATCACATATGTTATTTGAAAGTGGTTTGAGAACATGTAAAAGAATAAATTATCAATTAACAACACAAATAAAGAGGACTAGAAATTGCTAGCAAACAAAGTTTTTCCACCTTTTAATAATGCGTCTACTTTCTGCACATTTCCCCAGCAATATTTAAACCATCCCATCAGCTGCTAGCGATTGTGCACAATTTTAGCCATCAATCCTAAATGGACAGTCCCAGTCCACCCAGCTGTGAATGGGTACCTCATAAGGATGGGAATAACTGGGTGCGCCTAGTGGCTGCAAGAGAGAATGATAATACGATGTGAAGTTGAGATTGACATCCAATGATCGAGGGGAAAAATACCAGCGCCTTGAGCATGCACTAGTTGCGTGGATATGTGCGCTATATAAATATCCTATGATAATAATAAAGAACAAACATCATGTGGTTAAAACGTTTGTAGGTATATTTTCTTCTATTATTGTGAAATATTACGTCACACTGACAGTACTGCCGCCAGATAGAGATCGGTAAGATTTGAAGTACACACAGAAATGATAACCACAATGATCATTGGTCGAATACATATAGTTAAAAAGACATTTCAAACTGTTATGCATTTTCTGTTGGTTCCTCTGTCATCGCATCACATGGTAACAATCACTGGATTGTCTGGTCCAGATTCGATTTGTTTACAAACAACATCGTACAGCTGTAATACTGCTGAAACAAATATATACTCATGATTTGGTGACAATCGCCTGCTTTTAGCAGAGATTTCTTATGAATGTGGAAAGGGTTTTTGTCACTTCTATTGTCTTATTCAACAGGAAAGATAGAATGTTAAGTTTCCCTGAAATGTGATACACTTCCTCAAATCAATGACTCTATATGGTGGACGTAAGGGAATATGTGAAAAAAATCAATTTTCAGTGTGGTAAATGTCACAGCAATATGTGTTGGCGTGTAAAATTTCAGATGAATGTTTATGATCATTAGTGATACCTTTACACTCAACTAACCAGATTAAAACTCACTGAATACCCAAACATGGCATCAAAGAATAGATGTCCATGTGACCTCAAAGATAAGATGAGAAATTACAGATCAGGGTCCAGATCCACAACGCCATTGTAACTTAACGACCCATCGTCACTGTATACTTTGTCGTAGGCTTACGGAATAAATCAATTTTCAGTGTGGTAAATGTCACAGCAACATATACTGCCGAGTAAAATTTCAGATTGATGTATATTGTCATTAGTCATACCTTTAAACTCATGGGTTAAAGACCCGCCTCCGTGGTGTAGTGGTTAGAGCATCCGCCCGGAGAGCGGAAGGTCGCGGGTTCGATCCCCGACCGCGTCATACCAAAAGATGTTAAAATATGGTACTTGTTGGTCCCTGCCTGGCGCTCGGCATTAATGAGTACAACAAGGACTGGTCGGCTCGGAGTCGGTATAATGTGTCTGAGTGGGGTATTCACGCTTCACTGCGGCATGGTATCTCAGTGAGCTGGCACTATAAAACCAGCTTAAGTCTGGGCTAGTACAAGCAGCCGCACAAACACATACACACGCATGCACGTCGTCTTATGAGCGAAATATTCTCAAGCACGACGTTAAACCCAATTTCACCTCACCTCATGGGTTATTAGAGTTTTACGTCATATCAGCATATTTCTGCCATATAACGACGAAACTAAGAATAACTGTGTGACTTCAAAGATAAGATGAGAACTTACAGATCAGGGTTCTGATCCACAAAGAGTTCGTAACATTACGACCCATCATAACTCTATACTTTGTAGGGGCAGTGGGCTAGCCTAGTGGTTAAAGCATTTGCTCGCCCCACCAAAGACCCAAGTTTGATTGCCCATATGGGTACAATGCATGAATCCCATTGCTGGAATATTGCTGAAAGCGTGTAAAACCATACTTTTACTCACTCATTATACTTTGTCATGGGCTAATGAATCGCATAGTGCTACGAACATTTTGTGCATTGGGCGCCAGCTCAGCGAATGTGTGAAGGGTTTAATTACTCTTGAGAAATAAGTTTGATGGCATGTTTGACATTGTTGCCAGTTTGACCTATACGAAATGATGTTTTCTCCAGATGCGGTTCATCACTAACATCACCAGCTGGACAGAGAAGAAGCCTGCACTGTATCATGGTCACGTAGCCTTTATTGATTTCTCAAGGTAAGGATGTTGCAGTCTTTAGAAACATAATGTCATGTGCACCTGAGTACCAGCCAACAAGTATTTTATTGCTTTAATAAACAGGCTAGTTTACATGGAACCTGTGGCTTGTCAGATCGAATGATGTGAAAGGCAGGATGAAGCAACATGCTTGTCATATCATGGCAGCCTGTAAATATTCAGGGCTGGACCAGGTGAACCAATGACCAATGGCTTGTAGAGCAATGATCTACAGCATCAAGGCATCATGACTGTCAACCAACTAAGCCTGGTAGCCTGATCTTCCAATCCCATTTTAGTTAGCTGTCGAAAGGTGTATGCTGTTCGATGAAGTTACAGGTACAAGTGCACCAGGATTTTCTTTGATGGCTTGCAGAATATGAGACAAAGTGTGTTTTGTATTTTGCATTGGTTGTGTTTTTAGAATCAGTTTGTAGTTTATAGTGAGACTTGCTGCATTTCTGTTGAGCAGCTGTTTGCATTATCCAGAGCTGATCACAAGCATGCCCGGCATGATATAACTGGTTAATTGGGGTTGAAGACTCACCCACTCACTCACTCACTCACTCACTCACTACATGATGTTTGCACTGCTGTTCATGACTGCTGATACCTTTTGAACGGAAAAGGATGAACATCTTATGGAAAGCCATGACTCTTTTATGTGTTTCGTCTTCAAGTGTGACTTAACAGAAAACTCCTCACCCCTGCTTTGCTGTAGCATATATGGATATGTGTCAACAGTAAAGTGCCTCAGGTCAGCTTTGCCATACCCAAACATTCAGGTTCAGTGTTTGGAGATGAAACAGTACACAACTCATTTAAGGTCCTTCAATATGACTATTGAGTTATGGGGTTTTAACTGGAACCTACACCTTTGCCAAAATAGTTATTGACAATATATACAAGTATGGAGTAACACTTTTCAAGTATCTCTACACTTTAATGGAGCCACACCTATTCCTTGTTGTTACGGACCAGTCCCTTAGCTCAGAAATGCCATGAAGATGTGTCATGAAGCCATGTAAACTCTACACCCTTTTGAAAATATACACAGCCAGTGTAAAAACTATGCCTGACAAAAGAAAATGTTTGTCATGAGAGGCCTCCGGAAATAGTAATGCCACAATATTTTCTCTTGATGTTTTCGATCGGGAACATGTTTCTGCTATCACCCCATCCTTCCTGCACAAACCATGTGTCATGTGTCTTCCAGTCTCTCCTCCCTCCCACACAGCCCATGTGTCGTACGTCCTCCAGTCTCCCCTCCCTCCCAGACAGCCCTTGTGTCATATGTCCTCCAGTCTTCCCTCCCTTTTACACAGCCCTTGTGTCATATGTCTTCCAGTCTCCCCTCCCTCCCTCCCTCCCTCCCACACGGCCCATGTGTCATATGTCCTCCAGTCTCCCCTCCCTCCCAGACAGATCATGTGTCATATGTCCTCCAATCCCCCCTCCCTCCAAGACAGATCATGTGTCATATGTCCTGCAGTCTCCCCTCCCTCCCACACAGCCCATGTGTCATATGTCCTCCAGTCTCCCCCCCCTCCCACACAGCTCATGTGTCATATGACCTTCAGTCTCTCCTTCCTTTTACACAGCCCATGTGTCATATGTCCTCCAGTCTCCCCTCCCTCCCACACAGCTAGTGTCATATGTCCTCCAGTCTCCCCTTCCTCCAACACAGCTCATGTGTCATATGTCCTCCAGTCTCCCCTTCCTCCCACACAGCCCATGTGTCATATGTCCTTCAGTCTCTCCTTCCTTTTACACAGCCCATGTGTCATATGTCCTTCAGTCTCCCCTCCCTCCCACACAGCCCATGTGTCATATGTCCTTCAGTCTCCCTTTCCTCCCTCACAGCCCATGTGTCATATGTCCTCCAGTCTCCCCTCCCACACAGCCCATATGTCATATGTCCTCCAGTCTCCCCTCCCTCCCTCACATCCCATGTGTCATATGTCCTCCAGTCTCCCCTCCCACACAGCTCATTTGTCATATGTCCTCCAGTCTCCCTTTCTTCCCACACAGCCCATATGTCATATGTCCTCCAGTCTCCCCTCCCACACAGCCCATATGTCATATGTCCTCCAGTCACCCCTCCCACACAGCTCATTTGTCTCTGAACACTGATACAGACTCAGTTGCATGTTATGTAAGCTTCCTGGTGTCTGGGAATAGCGAGGAACGAAGTGCTTGATTTCAGCTGAGTCTGTCATACACTCTGCGCCCACCTAGCTGAATGATCTGAAGCAGCTCCACAGTGACAGGATGCTGGCTGTGCAGTCTCAGAACTGATTACTGGAAATATTCCTCAAGAGTCTGCTTCCTGCCTGCTCATCGGTCAGAGCAAATCACCCACCAACAACAGATTGTTTTGTGAGAGGGAAAAGTTTTTTTCAGAAGCTTTTGTATAATACAGAACCTGCCTCTGGTAACTCTGATTTAGCTTACATGAAATGAGAAGATCAGCATTAGGAGAAAATTGCAAAACCAAGTCAATTTGAACCTGATTTTGTCTGGAACTGTGCACACTCTTTTTCATTCATTTGAAGGAAAGAAGCAATGTTTTGTTTGATTCTTCTGAGATGTCCCAGGGGCAGCTGTCAAACTTGAAAAAAAAAAGAAATATTGTAGGATTAAAATATTTAAGAAAATTGTAAATCTATTGAGGACTTTTGTCTTGACAGGAGCTGGCAGACATGTGTTGTTGAATCAGATGCTTAGTGGTGATGATGACAGTAATATTTTTGTCCTGAAAGATTTCAGACAGACAGACATCAAACACCTTTGCTCAGGATCCATAGAGTTTGCAAAACAGATCTAGCATCTCAAGTTGGAATCAGGTCCATCTCATAGTCCTTTAACATGTGTAATCCGGCTGGGATCTTTGTTTGATTTTCTTAGTTTGACTTCATTGTACATGTGTGTTGAATAAAAGTTATCTCACCAGGGTATAATATGGCTACCATTTCCTTTACATTAATCAACCGTTTTGACAGTCAAGTTCAGAGGGAAGGGAAAGCATTATTGTAATCTCAGTGGACATCTTTTTCCTCTTCCTTAATAGCAAACATGATCTTTTTCACACAAAACAACTACATAAAAGAAATTTGTTTTTGGAAAGGAGTAAAAAATGAAAGACAGTGAATTGATGTAATTCAATAATGGCAGACAAGTCTTTCACAGCGGTGTTAGGACTTTCTCCACATTTACGAGGCCACTAATGGAGGCTCTGTCCTGCTCTGTCTGTCTTTGTGAGGAGATCTGAGCAATTACAAGGAGATTACACAAACTGTGGAATATATAAGGGTCTTTTGATGTAGTGGACATTGTAGATGTGCTGTTGGAGGCATGGGGACAGGTCATTAGTAACACATGATCAGGGCTTCTATACCGAAATCTGTGGCCCTGAATTGAGTTGTCTCTAACTGAGCATCCTAGTTATGCTTGATTACTGCATCTATGATGAAAATATTAGCCCTAAATGATGTTATGAGTTTATGAACGACTTAAGGATGATGCATTAAACATATGAAGGAAATTCTTCCTTTCATCGTAGGATCGGCTAAAACAGTGAAGTGATTCTTATCATGTTATTAATTATGATCAAGATTACATTTCACAGAGTAGACTTATGGGGTGTGAAGTATTTATATAAAGCAGGTTAAAGAAGGGAATCAGGTTAAAAGATGGTAAGTTATGACTAGTTAACAGTGTTGAAATTTAATGGTCAATCATTGGTTCCTCAAAGCCATCGATCTTCATTGATCGAAAAAGATGAGGTCACAGGATGGCAGTGTTCAGCTTTCAGATTACCAAAATAGTTCCGAAATGATTTTGATCAATCAGTTTAAGTCAGTTAGACTATAATTCCTATGGTTATAGCTTTATTATAATAAATTTTGTTGATACTCTTCACATGTAAACTTTTTTCAAAGTTCAGAGCACACCTGATCATTATTTCAGCCTAGACTTCTAATTGGCCACCAAAACTTGGCACGTTGTAATAGCTGAGTCAGCAATCAAGTTACTGTTTATAAAAACAATGTCATGTTGAAAATCTTCATCTTACACTGGGAGATGTATGTAAAGTTCCATATATCATACCTTAGACCAGCTGAATGAGTTGCCAAGGGGAACATTGTAACATCAGCAACCATCTTACACTTGGAGATGTATGTAAAGTTCCATATATGATACCTTCAACACTGAGTTGCCAAGGGGAACATTGTAACATCAGCAACCATCTTACACTGGGAGATGTATGTAAAGTTCCATATATGATACCTTCGCTGGGTTGCCAAGGGGGAACATTGTAACATCAGCAACCATCTTACACTGGGAGATGTATGTAAAGTTCCACATATGATACCCTCGCTGGGTTACCAAGGGGAACATTGTAACATCAGCAACCATCTTACACTGGGAGATGTATGTAAAGTTCCACATATGATACCTTCGCTGGGTTGCCAAGGGGGAACATTGTAACATCAGCAACCATCTTACACTGGGAGATGTATGTAAAGTTCCATATATGATACCTTCGCTGGGTTGCCAAGGGGGAACATTGTAACATCAGCAACCATCTTACACTGGGAGATGTATGTAAAGTTCCACATATGATACCTTCACTGAGTTGCGAAGGGGGAACATGGTAACATCAGCAACCATCTTACACTGGGAAATGTATGTAAAGTTCCACATATGATACCCTCGCTGGGTTGCCAAGGGGGAACATTGTAACATCAGCAACCATCTTACACTGGGAGATGTATGTAAAGTTCCATATATGATACCTTCGCTGGGTTGCCAAGGGGAACATTGTAACATCAGCAACCATCTTACACTGGGAGATGTATGTAAAGTTCCATATATGATACCTTCACTGAGTTGCGAAGGGGGAACATGGTAACATCAGCAACCATCTTACACTGCGAGATGTATGTAAAGTTCCACATATGATACCTTCGCTGGGTTGCGAAGGGGAACATTGTAAC